CTTTCCAATGGTCTTTATGTTTAGGTGCGATCTTTTTAAGATAGGAAAGAACAATAGCAGTTGAAAATAATGACGGGGATTTGGGTGATTTAAGCTTCTCGTGAGTGACATTCTTTTGGATCATAGGGATAATTTCTTCTTTAGGAACATCTAATTCATCGCATACTGTATCATCTAATTCAATGGAACCATCATCTTTTTGGTTAGATACAATGTCCTTGCACTTGTCAGGAGAAGCTGCTTCTTGAGCAGTACAAAGAGCTTCTTCTTCGCTAATGGTTGGTGCATCACTATAAATTTCGGGGACGAAAGGAGCTCTAGTCTTAGGGGCAATTACATCCTTTTTATGGTCCTCAATCGCTTTATCCGTTGCTTTATCGACCACATAATTATCAACACATTCTAACAATTCTTTTTCAGCATCAGAATCCCCAATCTGTTTAGAAAGATAATCACGAGCCTTATTATATTTATCTACCCAGTCACCTTTATATTTAGACGCTGCATTTTTTAGATACGATAGATTAACAGCAGTTTCAAGCAATGATGGAAGCTGGGGCAATTGAAGTTTTGGATTAGTAATGCTATTTTTAATTGTAGTAATCACATTTTCTTTAGGAACGCCCAGATCATTGCATACTGAGTCATCTAATTGAATGCTGCCATCATCTTTTTGTTTAGATACAATTTCTTCATGTTTATCGGGAGAAGCTTCATCTTGAATAACAGCAATTGCAGCTGCTTTCTTATGATCTTTTTCAACCTTTTTAGCAATGTTATCAACGAGATATTGATCTGTGCAATCTAATAATTCTTTTTCGGTATCAGAATCTTTAATCTCTTTAGTGAGATATTCTTGAGCTTTCTTAGATTTATCTTCCCATTGATTTTTATGATGTGGTGCAGCGACATTAAGGAAGCTAAGAGTAAGTCCTGTTTTCCACCATGGTTCTGATTCTGGAGAATTAAGTTTTGGATTTTGTGTACATTCTTTCACTTTATTTACTACATCGGTAGCTGGAACGTCTATTTCTTTACAAATTGTCTCATTAACTTCAAAAGATCCGTCATTCTTTTGATTAGACACTATCTCATCGCATTTTTCTGGTGTGGTAGACTCTTGCACTGTAATGATTGCGTTTCTCTTTTTATCTTTAATCACCTTCTTAATACAATTATCAACTACATAATCGTCCGCGCAGTCTAAAAGTTCTTTTTCGGCATCTTTATCTCTTATTTGGTCTGAGAGATATTTAAGGGCTTTATCATGTTTATCTTTCCATACACCTTTGTGTTTAGGTGCAGCTTTCTTAAGGTATGATAGGTTAATTGCAGTTGAAAGAATTGATGGAAGATTGGGTAATTGAAGCTTCTTATTTGTAAGTTTTGGTTGAATTGTTGTAATAATTTCTTCCTTAGGTGTATCCAATTCATCACAAACTGTATCGCTTAATTCAATACAACCATCATCTTTTTGATCCGCAACGATTTCATTGCATTTCTCAGGTGAGGCTGATTCTTCAACAATAATGAGTGCTTCTGCTTTTTCATGATCATCAGGTTCTTTATCTTTCTTAAATCCAAGGACTTTTTCAATTTGATCTTCAAGTTTAACAGCACCGTCATAGATAGTACCGATAAAGCTTTTAGCTTTAGGTTTTTCTTCTTTCGGTATTTCATCTTTCTTAAGATCAATTACATCTCGTTTCTTTTCGTCAATCACTTTATCTGTAGTTTTATCGACTACATATTCATCAGCACAATCCAATAATTCTTTTTCAGCATCAGCATCTCCAATTTGTTTAGAAAGATAGTCACGAGCTTTATTATATTTGTCCACCCAATCACCTTTATATTTATCCGCTGCATTTTTTAGATATGAAAGGTTAACAGCAGTTGCAAGACTTGATGAAAACTCGGGTAATTTGAGTTTCGGATTAGTAATGTTCTCTTTAATTGTATCAATAATTTCTTCTTTAGGAGCATGCAGTTCTTTACATATTGGATCATCAATTTCAATGCTACCGTCGTCTTTTTGTTTAGATACAATTTCTTCATGTTTATCGGGAGAAGCCGATTCTTGAACAACGGCAATTGCAGCTTTTTTCTTATGATCTTTTTCAACCTTTTTGGAAATATTATCAATGATATATTTATCAGTGCAATCTAATAATTCTTTTTCAGCATCAGCGTCTCCAATTTGATCAGAAAGGTATTTACGAGCTTTATCATGTTTATCTTTCCATTGTTTTTTATGATGTGGTGCAGCAATATTAAGATAACTAGTAGCAAGTGCTGTCTTCCACCAAGGTTCTGATTTTGGAGATCTAAGTTTTGGATTTTGTGTACATTTTTTCACTTCATTTACTACATTGGTAACTGGAACGTCTATGTCTTTACAAATTGTTTCATTAACTTCAAAAGATCCATCGTTATTTTGATTAGACACTATGTCATCGCATTTTTCTGGTGTGGTAGACTCTTGTACCGTAATGACTGCATTTCTCTTTTTATCTTTAACCACCTTCTTAATACAATTATCAACTACATAATCGTCCGCGCAGTCTAAAAGTTCTTTCTCGGCATCTTCATCTCCTATTTGGTCTGAGAGATATTTACGAGCTTTGTCATGTTTATCTTTCCATACACCTTCATGTTTAGGTGCTGCTTTTTTAAGGTATGAAAGGTTAATAGCAGTTGCAAGAATTGATGGAAGATTGGGTAATTGAAGCTTCTTATTTGTAAGCTTTGGTTGAATTGTCGTAATAATTTCTTCCTTAGGTGTATCCAATTCATCACAAACTGTATCACTTAATTCAATACAACCATCATCTTTTTGATCCGCAACGATTTCATTGCATTTCTCAGGTGAGGCTGATTCCTCAACAATTATAAGTGCTTCCGCTTTTTCATGATCATCAAGTTTATCTTTATTAAACCCAAGGGCCTTTTCAAGTTGATCTTCAAGTTTAACAGCTCCATCATAGATAGCACCGATAAAGCTTTTAGCTTTAGTTTTAGGTTGTTCTTTCGGTATTTCATCTTTCTTAAGATCAATTACATCTCGTTTCTTTTCCTTAATCACTTTATCTGTAGTTTTATCGACTACATACTCATCAGTACAATCCAATAATTCTTTCTCAGCATCAGCATCTCCAATTTGTTTAGAAAGATAGTCACGAGCTTTGTTATATTTATCTACCCAATCACCTTTATATTTATCCGCTGCATTTTTTAGGTATGAAAGGTTAATAGCAGTTGCAAGACTTGATGAAAACTCGGGTAATTTGAGCTTCGGATTAGTGATTTTCTCTTTAATTGTATCAATAATTTCTTCTTTAGGAGCATGCAATTCTTTACATATAGGATCATCAATTTCAATGCAGCCATCGTCTTTTTGCTTAGATACAATTTCTTCATGTTTATCAGGAGAAGCTTCATCTTGAACAATAGCAATCGCAGCTTCTTTCTTATGATCTTTTTCAACCTTTTTAGCAATGTTATCAATGATATATTTATCAGTGCAATCTAATAATTCTTTTTCAGCATCAGCGTCTCCAATTTGATCGGAAAGGTATTTACGAGCTTTATCATGTTTATCTTCCCATTGTTTTTTATGATGTGGTGCAGCAATATTAAGATAACTAGTAGCGAGTCCTGTTTTCCACCATGGTTCTGATTTTGGAGATCTAAGTTTTGGATTTTGTGTACATTTTTTCACTTCAGTTACCACGTTGGTAACTGGAACGTCTATGTCTTTACAAATTGTTTCGTTAACTTCAAAAGATCCATCATTATTTTGATTAGACACTATGTCATCACATTTTTCTGGTGTGGTAGACTCTTGCACCGTAGCGACTGCATTTCTCTTTTTATCTTTAATCACCTTCTTAATACAATTATCAACTACATAATCGTCCGCGCAGTCTAAAAGTTCTTTTTCGGCATCTTCATCTCCTATTTGGTCTGAGAGATATTTACGAGCTTTATCATGTTTATCTTTCCATACACCTTCATGTTTAGGTGCAGCTTTCTTAAGGTATGATAGGTTAATAGCAGTTGCAAGAATTGATGGAAGATTGGGTAATTGAAGCTTCTTATTTGTAAGTTTTGGTTGAATTGTCGTAATAATTTCTTCCTTAGGTGTATCCAATTCATCACAAACTGTATCGCTTAACTCAATACAACCATCATCTTTTTGGTCCGCAACGATTTCATTGCATTTCTCAGGTGAGGCTGATTCCTCAACGATTATAAGTGCTTCCGCTTTTTCATGATCATCAAGTTTATCTTTATTAAATCCAAGGGCTTTTTCAATTTGATCCTCAAGTTTAACAGCTCCATCATAGATAGCACCGATAAAGCTTTTAGCTTTAGCTTTAGGTTCTTCTTTCGGTATTTCATCTTTCTTAAGATCAATTGCATCTCGTTTCTTTTCCTTAATCACTTTATCTGTAGTTTTATCAACTACATACTCATCAGTACGATCCAATAATTCTTTTTCAGCATCGGCATCTCCAATTTGTTTAGAAAGATAGTCACGAGCTTTGTTATATTTATCTACCCAATCACCTTTGTATTTATCCGCTGCATTTTTTAGGTATGAAAGGTTAATAGCAGTTGCAAGACTTGATGAAAA